AAGCTGGGAACTGCAAACCAGCTACGGGAAGATGGTGATCTTTGAAGGGGGTTGTTGTACGTGTGTCAGGGACAGGCTGTTCCCAGGGTAGCCAACCTGTCTGGTCGTTGTACCCAGGCATCCTGTCTCTGACAGCAGCCCGAAACAGATGCCTACGGAAGATATAAATGCCAGGAAAGCCTGTAGTTGCACTTCCCCAGAAATACTAGAGATTTCCTGGACCAAAGATACTATCTCCGTACCTAATATCTCTCAGTGGATTTTTCATTCACTGTGTGCAAGACAAATTGTGTCAAAAAGCATCTCCAATTATTCTAAAAACTGTTACCTGATATTTTAATCTGATTCTTCCTTAGTATAATGACTGCTCCCTCATCACCATCCCTGTGTCATGCCAGATGTGGCAGGTCCTGGAACCCCATCCTAGCTGGTTAGACCTTGTCTACTTGGCCCTTTGTACAGAAGCTGCTCTGAGCACTCTCCTTACCTTTGTCAGTTCTGCTATAAGCCAACAAGTGATGCACCACAACCTACATACAGCCAAGAGCCATATAGTGCATCTCAGCAGCAAAGTGAGAGACAGCTCCAGAAGTGACTTGGGTCCAAGATGACAGTGGCTCCCCAGGGCTGCTTTGGTTGTGGTCTTAACCAGCCTTACAAGAAAATTGGACTTCAACACAGAAAGTGGCAAGCACATGGACTGGGAGAAATGCTTCGTTGTCCTTTTGTGTTCTCAAATCTGGTCAACTGTGGAAGAGAACACCCCCAAGGAAGTTAAGGGAGGACCATGGCCTGTACCAGGTGCAGAAAGATCTACACTATAGATCAAACCAGTTTTTGCTAAGGCTGTGCACAACAAATTCTGTGTTATCACTGAATACTGAACATGTTTGTCTATGATGTCTGCAAATGAGGTCTCTGATAGTGGTGCTCATGAAGGTCAAGCTCTAAAAGGAACTACCAATTTTCTACCATTATGATTGAAAGAGTCAGATGAAGTCACCAATGTCTGAAATTATAGGTGACCCCAATCATCCCCCACAAGAAGAGAGTCCTGCCTGTTGTAACCACGTCAATATGTGATTCAGATGCAGGTAACCATCTTTTGCTTCTTCTGACTTTGGTCAGGCCTTAAAAACATTGAGTCAGGTTTCAAATTGGCTTAACCTCTCTCCGTCTATTTTAGCGAGTGAAGATAAAATCACTCAGCACCAGAATGATGACACAGAAATCTGCAGCAGACGGTCAAATGTGCAATAATAAATCGATACTGGAGCTGCCTCCTACAATTGATAGCTGCTTAGTCACTTCTCCTTCCACCTCCTGTGATCAGCCCCACCTCTGCTACCCCTTCCACGGCTCCTTTCCCTGGGACGTCCCTAACACGGGCTGAAAACATCTGGCTGTGCTCTCAGGAAACTGCAGAAACAGGGGAAAGCGTGTCTTGTTGCTGAGCCCACTCTGAGTGTGCAAGTGGTATTTTTTAACCATTGTGCAAAAAGATGTGGTTCCCATCAGCCAGGGCAAGTCCGAGCTTCTGTGAGACAAGGCTTTGCATTTCAGAAGGCAGAAAATGTGGCATGTGCTCCTGCTGTTGCTGTGGCAATAGCCATGCGTGGTGAACGCTGTAGCACACAGCCACAACAAAAATCAAACTAGCCCAGAGCAGCTGTTATTCAGATGGTGGACTTTTTCTTAAATTAAATGTTTTCTTTCCAGTATTGCTATGAGGAGGCAGAGTATGCTGTCAATCTCAGCTCGCCAGAGACTGACTTAGCTGCTCTCTCTCCCACTCCACACAGCTGAGGGACACATCATCAGCTGAATCATCTAGACCCAGAAGAACAGGGCTTCTGCTTGCACTAGCACGACGGTCTGACTTGCTCCCCATGCGTGTACTGTTGTGGCAGGAGACAAAAGCACCCACATGTACAGGGTGGAGCTTTATGAGAGAAGTGAAGGTGCAACAGGCAGAGAAGATACAGCACAGAGAACGAGTCATGGATCCATCGCCTGTGCTGCTCTCCAGCCCCAGGGAATACCACGTTGTGAACCTCCAACAAGTGGTGACATCCATCTCATGGCACAGGCTGTAGTGCTTGGTTCTCTGCCCAAGATATGATTTCTCTCTTGCCTCTGGAGCACAGCTTGCAGAGGAGACCAAATTGCTCAGTGTCTTGTCTGCACAGATGTGGAAGCATCCTCAGCATCCCAGGATGGACCCTCTCTGAGGCAGCCCCTCTGGATGTCCCAGCTATGCAAACGGGTGCCTGGGATAAGGCACCAAGAGCCAAACCAGTCGGTCACCCGCATGTGTGTATGTGTCTGTACATTTGCTTTGTATTTTACAGGGAAAAGAAAAACAGGCTCCCCCTTGCTAAGAGTTCCTAAAAAGAGGCCCAAATCACAGCTCCAGCCCGTCTCCTTCACGCCAGCACAGGCATTAGGTCACCAGCCTTCTCCTGCCAAGAAGTGTTAACTGCCCACAAACCCCTGCTGAAACAGGTTGGAGAGCTTTAGGAGATAAATCCTCCTCCAGGATTTCCAACAAGTTTCACAAGACGGTTCAAAGCCCCAGCAGCTGGAGCAGTGATACGATGCCATGTGCTGCAGATGAAGTGCTAATACTTGTCCGTAATGGATTTGCTGGGATGTGTTTCATGGTTCCTCCACCTGTTGCCCCTCTCTCCTGGAGTCCTCCCTTCCCTGGGGTTTTGTCTTCATGACTTAAGATATCTGTTTGCAGGGAAGCGGGGCTTGGTGGACCTTCCTCTTTTCCACCTTACCTTCTTGTCTTATCCTGACAGGAGAGCTCAGCGGTTCCCAATAGCAGGAGGCATGGTCTGGGGAGAAGGAAAACAGGCACAGCCTCCTCTAAGGTTGTAAGCAAACCAGCTAATTAATAGCTTGCTGATTGCACTCTTAAAAAAAGTACAGTTAAACGAGGACACACAGTGTACATCTTCTTTGCTTAAGAGATGGTTGTAAACAAATTTACATATTACACAAAGTGGGATTGGCTTGATACATTCCGTAATTACCCGGAGCAGCTGGTGGGGAGGAATCATCACCAAAACGGAGCTCCTGCTCTGCTGCACAGATGGGATTTATCTCCTCATGCCCACACGTTCAGTCCTGGACCCGACGTTTTGTCTACGTAGACGAAGCGGGCACATTAAGTGACGTGACTTTCCTGCCAAACACGTACAGCCTCCTAGAAGCTTACGCTTGCAAGAGAAGAATGAAGGTGATGCTTTGTCCAAAGTGCCCGTAGACCACTAAAAACTGTCTGGGATCTTAGTTCCTTAGAATAACTCAGTGAGAGTCTGCTACCTTAAACCATACATAGTCACTTAAGACCAGATTAAAAACCAAACACACATGTATAAGTAAACAAGGTGACAAAACATGTCTGTGCTCAAGCAGAGATCTAAACCTGGGGCTCTACTTAATGCCCAACTTGTTTCTAAAACAGCCTGGCTGTGCCTCCATTCCCAAGCTAGCAAATGGGGTGAAAAGGACTCCCCTCGCTCGTGGGCATGAGGCAAAGCTCAACGTCTTCAGATATTGCATTGATGTGTAAAGAACAGGGGACTGGCAGCAGGAACAAGAACCACAAATTAGAAATTAAAATTACTTTTATTAACAAAATAAGCCACAGTACAAGTAGGGCCAAATCTTTTCAAAGTTCAGTCGCATCAAGGCCTGGAGTGCAACAAGGGCTGTGACAGAAACAATTTGGGGACAGATCATCATGGCAACTAGCAGTGAAATGAAAACCAAACTGGCTCCCGTGTTGGAGCCAAAGGCCAGTGGACTAGAGAGCTGGGGAGGGACTCTTTGTCAGGGAGTGTAGTGACAGGACAAGGGGTAATGGTTTTAAATTGGAAGAGGGGAGATTTAGATCAGATACCAGAAAGAAATTCTTCACTGTGAGGGTGGTGAGACACTGGCCCAGGTTGTCCAGAGAAGTTGTGGATGCCCCATCCCTGGAAGTGTTTAAAGCCAGGTTGGATGGAGCTTTGAGCAACCTGTTGTAGGAGGTGTCCCTGCCCATGGCAGGGGGGTTGGAACGTGATGATCTTTATGGCCCCTTCCAACACAAACCATTCTATGTTTTTTTTAACTACCAGATCACCTAGTCTGACCTCCAGGAAGGTGTGAGCTCTAATGCGTCACCCCATTTCCTTTCAACCTTTACAACTGGAGACTGGCTACAACACAACCTCCAGAAGGTCTATGCTGAATCGGCTGAAGGAGACCCTGCCACCGGTCCCAAAAGTCAGGCCCCCTTGGTGTGAGCCTGGCTGATGTCACCCCACTTGTCACCGGGGGTGGCGGAGGAGGTGGCAGAGGAGGTGATCGCCTCCGCTTTCCAGAGGAAGTCGCAGGCTGGGTTTTGCAGCCCGGGCTCACATCAACGCCTACGTTGGCTTTATCACAGCAACGGCGGGGGAGACCTGTCAGACAGACGTGCACGGCGGGGCCGGAGCAGCACGGGGGGTCCTGGAGACCACGCCGATGGCGTCAGACCCCGTGGCTTCGGAGAGAAACCACCTACGGCCCCGGCCAGCGCGGGGTGAAGCAGGCTGCAGAGGGGAAAGCGGGCCGTATGACACGGCTGATGTCACCACTGCCTGATCGGGGGGCTGAGCAATCCCCCCTCCCTCTCCCATCGGCTCAGCACATCCCCTTGCCAGCTCGCTCCCTCCCTCCCACTTTGGTTTCCCCCAGCCCCAAATCACTTCCTCTGCTGGGGCCAGTGCAAGTGGTGACGGGGCTGTGTTCAGAGCTTGTTCATGCACGCAAAAATCCATCCAAACCCAAACCACAGCCTGGGGTTTTTTTTTTTTAGCAGGGCTATTTTCAGCCCCAATGGCACAACGGAGGGTGAAATGGCATGGAGGAGCTGCTGTGACTGAAAATGGGAAATGCTTTTCCTCCTCCCATCCCCACTTGCCCCTGCTCCCATCCCCGCCTGTCCCTGTCCCCATCCCTGTTTGTCCCTGTCCCCATCCCCGCTCCCGGGAGAAGTTCCCATTGCCTCCTTTGTGTTGGCTTTGGGGCTCGTAAAACCTGCTTCAGCTCATTAATCCCACAAGAAGATGATCTGTTTTGACTTGCTGGGTTCTTTCTTTCACCGGGACACTCTGTGAATCCAGGTTAAACACACTTTGTAACCTCCTAAAAATGCCACCCGGTGATTTCAGCGGTTGGGGTCCCAGCACAGGCCACCCATGGCTGTCCTGCACCCCTCGGGGGGTGGAGAGCAGGCAGCAGTGGGTGGGCAGGACGAGAGCAGGGCTCAGGGCAGGGGGACCTTCTCAAACCAGCTTCATCTCCAAAGGGAACGGTGGCAAAGAGCAGCCTGGATGCAACGTCAGCCGTAATGATCCTAAATGAGCCTTTGTTTTCTGCAGCAAATGAGGTGTGTTTTGTTCTTAACAACAGCAGAAAACCAGCCAGACCTAGAAGAGCACAGACAATGCAGCAAAGCAACATGATTTCCGAAAAACTACTTCAATTACTGCTTAAATATGTGCATTTAGGTGCTGCATGTGGCTCTCCCAGTCAGTCAGTGATTCTCTCAATATTTGACTTTAGGGACCTTTGCCAACATTCACATTTTCACCAAAAGCCTACCGCTTTTCCATTTCTAAGACTGCCAAAGAGCAGAGCCAGTGGGGAAAAGGCCTGAAAAATCTAAATGCTTGGGAGCAGGGTGAAATAATTTGACAAGATTATTGACCCAGGGAGACTTGCAATGCTGCGAGAAGAGAGGACCTGCATTTTTCACAGTTCCTAACGCAACAGTAAAATACGGAGTATTTCAGAAAGGTCAACTGATTGACAGTTAAATAACTGACCAGGCCCAGTGCTTTTCACAGCTTGCTCCAGTAGCTCACACGCAGCTGGGGTTTGTGCCCTGGCCGTTTTGCACAAGGGAAGCACCAACTGCCCTGATTTCCCTGCTGCAGCGCTGGTGCCCACAAATATCCTGTGGCCTCGTTGGGCTGCCGGAGCAATTATGTCTCCCAATTGCCTGTTTGTCTCTCTGGGTTATTTCTGAACTGGGGAGCTAAAGGTACACAGCCTCTGCAACACGTTCACGCTGTTGTCCCATCTCTGCTTGCCCCAACAGAGCACACAGCATCTATCTGCACCTGAGCATGGCTAGAGGGATGGCCTGGGCATCCAACTACCCCATGGGTACCACGCTGGGATGCCCACCAATACACATTTCAATTGACTCTAGGTGCCTCCAGGCAGTTGGGTTCTGAAAAAAAAAAGCTAAAAAATTAGCTGTCCAGCCAAAAGCCCTCTTTCCACAGATCTTAGTATCTGATTTTTCCTTTGGCTACTTTTGTACTGCAGGAGTCCATTTGCCGTCCTCCCTCAAACACAATGCCTTCTCCATTATAAAGCTGAGACCTCTCTGCAAAACCCAGCTGTTAGTTTGCTTTAGTCCCATCAATAATCGTTGAATACTTAAAAAGATAAACCTGAAGAACGTTGAGTGCTTCTTTTGGCCTCCTCTCCCTCTCAATTATACACCACATTGATAAGATCATTAGTAATCATTTAACATATGATTTTCATGTTTGTTGTTGCTGTTGCTGTAATATTTTTGCCTTTTAAAATTCTAAAACTTGGCTTTTCAAGAGTGACTGAGGTTGTGTGGGAGAGAAGTTTGCATCCTTGCCAGGGCCCCAAGGATATGCTTTATATCTGGACTGCTTAAAAGCTCCCTCACCATCAAAGCTCCTTTTCCAGCTACCATTATTTCTGTTTTGTTATTGTAGGACCTTCTATTTTGTCATTGTGCATGACCTTCTTAGTCTAGAAATGTCACTCTAAGACAGACTGGCACTGCTTTCATTTTTTCCTGCTGGAAACCTTTTGTTTAGTAACTTTAATTCAAAGGTCTCTTCTGCGCTTATGTGTGGGCTTGGACCAAATTTCCTACATAACCCAGACCAGAAAATTTCGCCATTGGCTAATAACAAAATAAGAAGAGAGGATATAGGATGTAAATCGCTGTGACTTTGAGTAGCTCCTGTTTGCTCTTTATTCTAACCACTAGGAAACAGATTTCTAAGTGCCTGGGCAGTGCAGCGGCCACGCTCTTACCCTGTTCTGCAGAGAACACCAACTTCAAACACAACTGTCCAGACAGGACCCTGTGTGAAGCCTGTACTGGGGTGGCCCCTTGTCAGAGTCATACTCTGATCATCTGATGACTCAGTGGGGTCTTCTCCACACAACAACACAGATCATCTTTAAGCTCTGCGATGGTCTTTGCCGACCCAATCACTGCCCAGATGTCTTGGAGACAGACTCCATCACAGAAAAGCTGCACAAACTCCAAAAAGCCCTCTCGAAAATCTGATGGAAAGCCATCTCAAAGCCTGGTACAAGCCTAGGGCCTTCCCAGGAATCCCATCAGGACAGCAATCCCCGGGAGGATTACACTAAACCACTTACTCAGCTATACTCGACTTCGTGGTACGGTGCTGTGCTAATCCTCACCCAGGAGATAAACACCTCATGCTATGGGAAGGCGACGTGATGTGAGTACTCCGTGTGTAATAAAACCTGCAATAAAACAGTGCAGCCAATGCATTAGGGAGTCCTATTATGGATCAGTCCTACAGCCGCCTCTCAGGTAGAGCTGTTAACTAGAGTGATTGACTTATGTTTGAACAAGCTGCAGTCAGACACCCACAGAAGACCAGCTCAGGAGCTCTTTGTTTTTGAAATACATCCTTCTCTGTGCAAGGCCAGCATTCACAGCAGAAGTCCTCTGCTGCTGTCACCTCCTGGCACGTGACAGACTGAGAAGCCCCAGCTATGATGCCCCAAGCAGGGCTGCCCAGGAGGTGTAGAGATGTAGATGTCCCTTTTAATTGTAGCAGGGATGAGTCGTTCTGCTCCCCCAGCCAAGCTTGAAGAATCTCATCCTTCATTTTATTATTCAAAACATTTTCAGTTTTGCGGAGGAGGGTTTGCTGATATTTCAGAAATGAGAAGACAACTGCTTCGTGATCTTGTAACTAGGGAGCAAATGAGAGCTCGTTAGAAAATGGGAAAGGATTGCGGGGGAGTTGCACATTTCCCACCTAACTCCTGGGGTTTTTTTGCATTACAATTTAGTAGCTTAAACAAGGCTTCTACCGCAGATCTTGTGTTTGCCAGGAAGCTCATCTTCTTGGGAGTCAGAGCAATATCTAAGACCCTCAAGAGCTAATGCCAAAAGTAAAAGCACAGGTCTCTAGTTCGCAGGACTGAAAAATGTGGGCAGTAGGAAGCCTCATAATTCAGACACAGGCCATCCATCAAAACCAACACACCCTGAAATCTCAGCTTAACTCGTCCACTTCTGATACTAACATCAGTGTTTTGCCTGAGCAGGAGTCACGGGGCTCTTCCTCAGGCACCAGCATCTCCTCCGGGGAAATCCCACCCAACCCTCTACCCTGTTCCTTGTGGGTACAAGGAACCCAAAACACTGGGTTTTGCTTTGCAGTCTCTCCATCTGCTCAGAGGCCAGCACTTTTGTTGGACCCAGCTGGTCTCTTTCAGCTGGGCATAAGGCAGACTAACAAATAAATAAATATGCAGCTGATGATTTGTGGCAGGATTTAGAGTCTCCTTTCCTCTCCCTTCTCTCAGCATTTTGTGTGGAAAAAAGCTGTCAGAGAGAGGTACCGGACTTTGGTCCCAGCATCCAGCACGTACGGCTCTTTTCTATTGTAATATTGCTACATTTCATCTCCTCAGGGGGTTCAGAAGAACAGGGGGGGCTAAGAAGAACAGGGGGGGCTAAATTATTTATACTTGGAACAACAAAAATAAAGAAAAAACCCAGTTGTAGACAGTTCTTGATCAAGTTTACTATCAGTGTTGGAAGTGTTCTTTGCTAGGGAGTTACTTCTCTCTTAAGGGAAATATAAGAGAAGCAGCACAAGGACTGTTAAGTATAAACCGTTTCTATCCAACTGTTAAATTGTCTGCGATTTCTGCTGGTGACGAAGCAGCACTGGACTGGTTACAAACTCCATTAAAAGGAGACAATTGCAGACTCACCTTGAAAGTAATTAACCTTATCTAAGTCTTTAATTGTAAATGCATGAAATGATAATATGCTAAGCTTAAGGGTACTTCATTTGCTGCTGAATACTGGTAATAGGATAGGATTTGTGTCACCTTACTGATGTGTGTTTACACACCACCACTGAGCAGAGGAGCTTAAGGAAAGGACCACATTTCCTCTGATAAGGGCTGTGCCAACAACCTCCCAACGGCCTGACAACAGGGAGGAAGGGAACCAACTTGCTCCCTTTGATTCAGAGGTGTGGGCTGTGCAAAGGTCTCCATTTCATTTAAGACAAAAGATTTGCAGGCAATATCCTTCCTTTTGACGTTCTCCCTTGAGAATAGCTGGAGGGAGAGAGCCCATCTGAGCAGAGAAGATGAGGGTGCCATCTTCTCCTTAGCCCTGGCCACACCTAGCCTTGCTCCTCCAGAAGGCAAGCGTATAGGGAATTAATTACTTTTTTTCTCATAGCATTCCTCCTCTCCCAGCTCAGTTTCCCAAACTGACTCACATTCCAGCCACACCTCTGCTAGTGCTGGCTGGAAGGAGGGAGCAAGACCACAGCAGCCCTTCCTCACATCTGCATGAAGGTGCTGTGGTGCTGCATGTCCCATTGCTGTGTCTGTAAAGGCTGTGCCCATTTCAGGTACCCAAATGCTCCAGGATGAGCCCTGTGGGCAGCCTGGGAATCCAAATCTGAAGCCATCGTTGCTCTGGGGAGAGAGTGGGTCAGTCATTTCTAACTGAACAGTGGGGGGACGTAATAAAACCTGCAGGGTAAGTCCATTCATCCACACACATTCTCTCTCTCCCCTCCCTTGCCCAAGAAAGTAAATGCCACATCTTTTGTATTTCTTAAAATATCCATTGTTAACATAATGAGACCATTGACAGTAACCTCAAGTCAGCATCCTACGGCAATTCTGACAATTCAGCAGCATCCTCACTGCTCCAAGGAATTGGAAAACACAAGCAGTGCGGAAAACACAAACATCAATGTGCAAAACAAACACATCTGATGTATCAGAGCAGCAAAAAAGAGCCTCCAGAGACTGTGGGGAAAGAACCCATTTGTTGGGGAGAGCAAACCCGGGGGACATAATGAGCTGGTGAGGCACGGTTCAGCTTCTTGGGATTCAGAAGGTAATTAAAGAAGGCAGAAGTCAGCAGAACAGCATATTACACCGTGACTTTGTTAAAGTCATCAGCACTCACCTCCTACTGAGAAGTCTTCTCTTTTCCTCTCTCCCCGCCCCCGGCACATTTTATTACCAAAACCCAGGGTCATCTCACATAAATGGAGAAGTTAATTTTAAAACTTTCTCAAAATGCAACTTGGAATCTTAGACTTTCTGTGCGGGAAACGTATAGAGGAATTAAAAGAAAATCAAGTAAGAAGAAGGTTAGTCAGACAGTGAAATGAAACTACAGCTGCAAAACTTCATGGATTTTTATGGCTGGGGGAGCCCACAGCAACATTTTGGTCTCCTGCCAGCATAAGCACAAGCACGAAACCTACCCCTGCACGGTTAGGTCAGTACATATCTGATACAAGCTCTACTGAATCCGGGCCTGATACCTTGCGCCAATACAGCTCTGTCCAGAGTTCAAAACAAGTACTTTTTAAAATATCAGCAAAAGAAAAAACATGCTTACGGTTGGTTGCCACAATATACTAATCAGAATGGGGTATATCTGCCACTGAAGAGCATGCAGGGCTAAAGCATTGCTTTTAAGCAAATACGGTTACATAGTTCCGCATTTCAAGGTCCTTGGAGATGGAGTTTTGGTAGAAGACCTTGTTCTCTCTCATTTGCTTTTTCGTTTTCACTCATAACTAAAAATCTGGTGTGTGGCCGAAAGTGGACAAAAACACATTGCTGAGAGAAGGAGTGATCTCACGGTGTTTCCGAGCAGGCAGGGCACCCGGCATGGCAGCAGGGGGTTGCCATTGCTGCAGTAACCAGAATATTAGGAGACTCTTCCAGAATGACGCAGTATGGAGAACAGCAGGTTTGCCTACGCCGCCTTGCAAGGCCAGCACCACATGGCCCAATACATCATCCCAGCCGAGGCCAGACCCTCCTTGCCAGCTCACATTTCCAGAAAAGAGGAAAAGATCAAAGCTGTGGGAGTACTTTTAAATACAGAGAGAACTGCCTCACTCTGTTCTGCTGCACGAGAGAAGGGACTTTGTCGGAGAACTAATTGCTTTTATGTCAAGACAGCAACCTTGCACTGCCTCCAGCCCATCGCCAGCCACACTGACCTTCATTACACCTTGACTCTTTCAGCCCATCTGGCTATAAATTAGGACAGACGGGTTACACCCTTTCCTTCTCCTGTAATGCACATGGACATCTCAGCGGTGCTGTTGGCACATAAAGGCTTTTGCCCTTTCTGTTTCCCTCCCTAGATAATGAGCCATCTATTAAGGAGGCAGATGCAGTTTGAGCTGGTGATATCTTATGTAATTATGTGGGTGAACAACAGAGACAGAGAGAACAGAAGAAGGTGGAAACCAGGAAAGGCCAAATGGGCAGAATTTCCAGAGCACCGAGAGCTGTAATGTCAACAGTGCTCTTCCCCTTCCTTACATCCCTGCCCAAGAAAGCCAAGACGTGGTTTGCCCCCCCCCAACTCTTTTAGACACCTCTACTGCATCAGACTCATTTCAAATAAGCCTCAAAGTCCAGTCTGTCCCACCAGTGTCAACTTCTTACATCAACCAGCTTAGCTGGACATAACCAGCCCAGTCACAGGCCTGGCCTCCAAGAGGAACAGAGTTTTGTCTGAGATTTGTGTGTCTCATCAACCCCCCTCTCTCAACTGTCAGCCAAATAATATCTTTCCACTCACTTGATTTCTTTGGTATAATGTCCACCCCGGGTTTGTGTGCCTATATTCACCTGGATTTCCAGATGCTCTCCAGTCCAAACTGGTGTGACCAAGGCAGCCACCAAATACTGCAGAGGTAGTCCTTTGAACAGGAAAACAGTAATCCTGATACCAAACAGGGAATAAGCGTGTAAGAAACAAAAGAAGCTAAAAACATTTTTTGGACCTCTGGGATGCATGGATAGAAATAATACTCACAGGTGGCAGCTGGATTTGGGTCCCAAACATTGCTTTGCCTCAGTCCAGCGCTGTGATTTGTTCTAGGTGTTCTAGGATTTGCAAATCCACCCCAAGTCTCACAGCCGCCTGATCTGAACAGTGAGATTGGCCTCAAGATGAAAAGGAAAGGTTTTGGGTTAAGTTTTGGGCAAACTGCTACTGATCTCACCAGTTTGTTATCTTTATTCCAGTTACTCACCCATCCTTACCCTACAGCTGACACAAGCTTGGCTCACAGACCTCTCCCGTGGGATCCACTTGTAGCTGCCAGCCCTGCACGCACACACATTAAATCTTACCTAATGAATAATTGCCAGGGCACTGGGACATTTCATTCAGCTGATAACAGCACACACCTCAGGGAATGAAATAACGTTTCGAGGCTGGACACAAATGCACGTATCACAAAGATGTCACGGTTTACCCCACATGACAGTCATTGCAAAGCCCAGACACCACATATGGAAACAGGTAGGAGAAAGAGTGCCCTGTGGCGCTAGACTCTGTATATTAGCCTAGGAATAGGCAGTTTTTCCTTGGAAGATTTTATAGTGTAGGACAACAGTGCATGGGTGAGATTAAATACTGCTATTTTCATGTCACAGATCGGAAATGGATGCACAGATGTGAGAAATGATCTGCACAAGATTGCAAAAAGAACTTGGTGGCAGAGCCACAGACCCTTTCTCCTTTGTACCCATTTCTCAGTGCTTTACCTACAACATCTCCCCTCTTCCTAGTGGTGTGTGACCCACAGGCAGTTCAGAGTGGGGAGCTTTGCTTGCACAGGCACAGCAGGAGTGCTGAAGGTCACCCAGACTTTCAAACAGAAGCTGGAAATCCTGCATCTCTGGAAAATGGAAATCCATGCTGTCTCTGACTCGGGGCTACAGTTGAGCCCCCAGCCCCAAGAAAATAGATGGGATGCTCACTCCAGAGAGCTGTTACACTGCCTCCTCTTCTGCAGCAAAAGCAGGTACCATCACCTGCCCATCACATAGCCACAGACAGTGGCTGTGTCTTTTTCTCCAAATTTTTACCTCATGCTGGTGAAAAACACTGGGCTGATTGCACTGGCCCCTACTTACCCACACGCCAGGGTGATGAAATCTCTCCTTCACCTTGTCAGGCCAGTGCACGTGCAGTAGAACGGACTGGGACCAGTCTGAGGGCTGGAGGGGCAGTTTGGTTTCCGTGGTTCACTCCCACATCGGCCTCTCAGACAAAAATGGGCAGAAAAGGCTGCCAAGTGGAAGAGGTCAGGGAGGTAGGTGCACACTTGTTGAACTGGATTTGCACCGTGTTTCTATCCCACGGGCCAGGGTGAAGGGCTGGTTTTCCTCCTGCCAAACGGACCCACACTGGTGCTGGTATCAGATCTGCATTCAGTAACACGCTGTAGAGCCTTTGCTTCTCATTTCTTGCGTGGCTGACTCCTCTGCCCACCGTATTAGAAGCAAACTTAGGTCCAAAATGAGAAAGAGCATTATGCAGGAGGCAGAATTATAAAATTCATTTCCCTTCAGAAAAGGCACTGAATTAATGTGTCATGGACAACTTTAAATTTGGATGCAATTTAAATAGATACACGGAATACAGAAGTGACTATGTTTTCTGATCTCTAAAAGGGATTGTCTATAAACAGAATAGTCTATAAATAGACTTTTAAGTCTATTAAAGTATCTTTTAAGACCCATGAAAGCATTCAGTGAGGACATAAAATTATATTTATCCCTCCAATTCACCACAAAATGGCTACAGCCTTTCCCTTTTTTGTCCCCCTTTGAAAAACAATAGGAGACAAACTGGTTTATCTTACTGTACCTGTTGTAAATACCTTTATGGCAAGGTAATTGCTAAGCGCATTGTGTTGAACAATTCCTTACTTTGTTAGAGGAACATTTATCATGCCCTTTGGAGATGGCAGAAGAGAATTCCCCCGTGACCTTTGGAAAATGAAATCAGCAGCATTACTCAGAAGCCAACGTCGCGAAGTTTAAAAAAAGATGTAAGAAGGGCTTCCCATGCCTCCTGAAAAAGACACAATCCACGCTTCCACTGGAAGCCGAGCTAGCTTATTCCAGCCCTTTTAGACCATTAATGATTTGTGCCTAACTAGCACTCAGGGTAGGTGATTCACTGATGCAAGCGCCGCAGGGCTCCCTGTCCTGTGCATGGCCCTGCTCTCGTCATCACAGCAGTACAGGACACAACACCGTGGGCTGCCTGTGCTGGAGAGAAGATCATGAGCTCGATTGTGTGCTACACACAAAGGGAGAGCCATTATCAGAGGCTGCTTTGCCAGGCTGCATGAAAAAAACCGCCTCTGCAAATTGCATAATGCCCCTGGATGTTCCCAGCGGTGCCAGGGCAGGCCCAGGGGGCTGGCGCTTGGACAGGGAGGGAGGAAGCTGGATCTCCTCCCTCCCTCCCAGCATGGGAAAGCTCAGGAGAGCTGTTGTGTAGGCAAAAAAAAAAAAAAAACCACCCTCACTTATCTCCTGGGAAAGGGCTGTGCTGCTGTGGAGTGACGTCTGAGGCACGGAGTTGTGGTCATGGATCAGAGGGAGCATGGCATGGCAGTGCTGGGGAGGGGGAAACAGGAGAGACATCACACTTGTTCTCCATGTGCATGTATCACGTTCCTTTTCCGCAGATGCACTCATCTTGTTCACTGAGACGGTGTACCTGAGTTTTGATCACTCCCTGTGCGAATAAGAAACTATCTAAACACAGGAAAATGCTGTAAACAAACCCCTGTGTCTACTGAAGAACCCGTCTCACACTGCGTGTGGAAGAGGCGTAGTTTAACACCACTGCAGGGCTGACGTGGTACCTCGGTCTCTGCTGTTGTTCGGTGGATGAGCATCCATGCCCAGGGAGGGACAGGAAGGGGCAGAGGGAGGGAGCTGCTCGATTGCCCCAGAGGTACTGTCAAAATGCAGCGTGTGGCTGAAATCTCCAAGCAGCACACCATTCCCACCGGAACGGCAAACGGCGACATTCCCAGACGATGTTGAGTGGGCAAGATTTCACCATGAGTGAATGTGACCGTGATAAGCAGTGTGGGTGACCTACTCAGCTTCATTTCACTTGCCTGAGAGTCCATCTGCTTGGAATGCCTCCTCCACCGCCTCCTCCTCCTCCTCCTCCTCCGCTCTTACTGGTGGCACCAGGGATTTACAAGGCAGCAGGGAGCGTTTCCTAATATTGGTTGGGTGTAACTTTCCAGCATGACTGATTGTGCTATTAACTGTGGCAAAGAGAAGAGCACAAGTGGGCAGGCAAAGGAGAGCACTTCAAACCCTGGAGATGAATGATAAGTGATATTAAATAGTTCTATGTATGCAAAATAAATGTAAGAAGCTTGCAAGGCTATTGTTACAGACGTCGCTAGGTTTATTAGAAAAGGGGAAAGCTATTTAGAAAAGTTGAGCCCATGTAGAAAAAAATGAGACCTCTGTAAACAAGACAGAAAGGAGTTGGGAGTTAATGGAGTTAGAGTTGCAGGAGAGTTTTAAATTAAAAACTGGGCATAAGGAAGAGGTATGGAAGAACATGCTGTTTGGTTGAAGCTTTCAAATCTCTCTGTTAAGAAAAAAGATAGAATGGAAAGCAATGGAGTGAAGTGGAAAACAGAGAAGACCAGGGTCTATAAATGAAGCCCCAACTAAGGCACGTGTGTGCATACCCCCCCAGCCCCCCCCCCAAAAAAAAAACCAGCTAGGTAGCTCATGACCACATTTAAAACCATTTCTGTACAAATGTCAGCAATGTGAAAATAAAGGAGGATGAACTAGAATGCCTGGCTTTAAATAAGAACATTGGCAACATACGTATCTGGGAAACTTTCTAGTAAGAACTAATTAGCAAAATACTATTATACCAGGTTTAAACAGTATAAATGTCAGAACAGTTCATGCCAGGGAGGGAAAAATAAGTAAGTGACTCAAGTTCTCAGAAGTTCGACATAGATTGAACGTACTGAATTAAACATTTACCTTTAAAAAGGGGAACCACATAAAAGTGAGGAAATTCATTGAAATCAGCAGCTAAAAAGAGTAAAGCACTTGGAGATGACATGAAATTGTTTAAAGACACTTTACAGAAGGCTCAGCATCAAATAAAAAAGTATTGCAATAAAAGAAAAAGTAAGCCAATGTGATTAAACCATGTAACACTTCTGAGATGTAAAAAAAAAATTCTTCAAAAAATAGGGATTTAAGAAAGATGGGAAAGAACACAAAGGCTGAAAAAGTGGATGTGAAACTACAATAAAGTACAAGAAAATGAAAAGCAACTTGCTAAAGGCATAAAACTGAATGATAAGTTTTTTTCAAGCACAGCAAAAGCAGGAGGCTGCCAGAGAGTTCCGTGTGGTCCATGGATGATCTGTAAGTGAAAGGAGCACTGGAGAGGGACAGACCATAACAGAAAAAACAAACCAAATTTGTTGTGTTGGTGTTCCTGGTGGAACTCTCACGCTGGATTACTCTTTAAGGAGACCAATCTTAGAGGGCAGTTTCATGACACCTTCGACAGGATGAGGCTGAGGCCATTGTGACTTCTCCATTCTCCTTGGTCAGGGTCTACTGCCCCATTCCTTGAGTCAGCGCTGGTCATTGCCTGATCCCATGGTGAGTCAGCTCAGGCTGTGAAGGCAGGCCCACGTGAGTCACCAAGGGTACGGGGTGATGCTACTCACAGCCTGGGATGCCAGGTAGCAGAGATGTGCTCCAGAGCCAGGGACTCCCTGCTTCAGTGTCATGAACTACCAACTTTCCCAGGGAGAAGTTTGATGAGAGACTTCCAAGATTAGGCGATGCGGAGGGAAAAGCCACCAGCTGGAAGCTCAGCCCAGCGTGCAACAACAAAGAGACATTACAAAAGAGCTGTGACGAGACCTTTGACATTAATGTATGTTCCTGTGTCTCCTCTTTGCTAGAGAACTAGCATGCATTGGAGGAACCCCAGGACTGTGCCATAAACACACCTGGGCCCACTGCTGCATGCAGGAGCCAGCAAATCTCACCCTGGTGAGTGCAGAGCCAGCACATCAGGTGCCCTCACCATGCTGTGTCTGGGTGGCACTCAGTGGGCCAGGAGGAGCAACGTGTTGAGGATGTGAATGTGACACTTCTGAGCTCTATGGTTCAGAGCCAGAGCAGGTGGATGTTAGTCAGCCCACTGAGGTGATTCACAGAGGCTGGTAAGGGCTGGCATCCTTTACCAGACACAGAAGTTTTCCAGGTAGCAAAACATTCACCATGCCTCACCGAACTCCTATCTACGTTAGGATAATACTCACCTCATGAGGTCGCCTCCAGAATTAATTGATATGGCTAAAGCTTTGAGATTCTTAGGTGCACACACAAATTATTAAATCGGCTTTTAAGCAGTTCTCTTTTAAATGTGAAACAGACACGGTTACGTCAAGGTCCTTTCAATTGGATATGTGACCAAGATGAAAGTGAGGGTCTGGAGCTGATCATCTTCAAAGTGGGAGCACCTGGGGTGGCTGCTCTGTGTGGATGCCAAGCACCGCGCAGGCACTGGAAATTCAAAACATTCCAGCTGGTGATTTGTTACACCAACCTTTTTCATCTCTGCTCGATCAGGCTGTGAATCAACATGGCACAGACTTCCTGCCATGGACAGAACCGTGCTGCAGTCACTTGAAGTAGTGGCATACCCAAGTTGTATCCTTCCCTACCTCAACGTTTCTGCTTATTCAATAATTAAGCAATTAAAAAACTTTCAGTTTTCCCATAAACATCTGCCACAAGCAATTACATTTAGCCATGTCTCGGCAGGTCTCAGTTCCACAAACAGTTTTTTTTAATGATCATTTCTATTTTTTCTAATGGTAGCTCTCCAAGACTTTATTTGGAACCACGTTGTGGTATCCAAAGCAGAAAGAGAGACTTTGTACGTTATCTGAAATCAAACACAGCCAGAAATACAAATAGATGACACTCACAATATCTGGCATGCTAACACTAATTAAAACAAAATTAAGATAATAAGCCTTTGGCTATTTCCTCTTTTCCTTAAATTTGGTTATTTGCAATTTCCTAGCCACATGGATCTTCCAAACTGAAAATTCAAGCGTTCCTTTTCTTCTCCAAGTTTCAGCATGCTCTGTCCGAGGGCATTAGGGACTTCTTAGGGAGATGTGGTTGGAAACTCTGTCTCCTGTCTGTCCCAGCCAAGCTCCTGAGCCACACTGGTACAGAGGGCAGGCGAGGTCGATGTCCAGATTCTTCTGAGTGAAGCAGGAAATCTTGGCAAATGCTTTGGATGCGCTGGGTGCTTTATTCCTTACATCCCTTCCTGAAACATCACATGGTGCGCTCATGCCATATGGTCTAACCAAGAAGCTTAAGGTTTAGGTTGTTGTTGCTTTTTCAGTAAGACCTGAGGTCACCATCCATTAAGCCTTAGGCACTTTGAAGCTCATGCATGTAATTAAATCCAGTTAAATAAAGGCTAAAATCCATCTTGTCTTTATACCATCTTGAGTGCTGACCTGAAATAAGCTGATGTTGTGTTTGCACTTTTCAGCGCTTCTCTGTGGAGATCAAACACATCCCATTTCTCATGCCGGGATTAATAAGTGACTCTCAGCTAATTGAACCCCTCAGCTTCCATGATACCAATACATCCACCACTCTCATCTCCAAATATTTTAACCACTTTCATGGTTGCCATTACTGTGGTCTCTGATCAGTCTCATAGACTTGAATGCATCTATACCCATCACACCTCTGTGACTGCCAGCTGCTCTTCTGCCAAGAGTACAGATGGAGATCTCTAGACCAGAGAAGAGAATACATGTTCCACACCACAGCAGACACCTTCCAGCTCCTTGGAGTCCTCGGCAGCCGGCACAATCACTGCACCAACTTTGCTGTCCCATTTTCTGTCTAGGAAAAGCCACAGGCCAAACCCTACTGGCATCTACAAGCATCTTACCATGGACTTCACAGACCTTCTACTGACTTCAGCAAACTTGGCTCAGACCTAATTGCTCCTGCCAGCCATCCTGTGTTCCTGGACTTTGCAGGGTAACTGCTAAGGACAGAAATAAATCCTTTGTTTACTCTGGTAACTGGAGAGCTGCTGAAAGCGCTGGCTAAAAACAGGTGCATTTTCCTATCAGGTTCATGAGTCACTTATCCCAGGAAAGACTGGTGAACTTGGGAAGCCCAGCGCTCGCTGAACAACAGGAAAGGATGACTTTTTAATTGAATGGTGGCAAATTTCATCATCTGGTTTTCCTGGGTGGCTTTTTTCTTTTGAAGTCATGTTAAGTCATTGGTTTAACACAGCTCAGGCCTGTTCCTCGCAGATTCCTTTTCTGTGTGGTGTTCCAGCACCGTACCCAGTTTGGGATGGAAAACACTACCGGTGTTAGACTCCTACGGGAAATAGCAGGTGTGATGTGTGACTACACAAACAGTGCAGGCAACTAATACCTCCGTAATAGATTTTGTGCTTGGTCCAGCATAATCAGACCTTTAAGGACAGGGACTTCTGGGGCTTTTTTTGTTTGATTTTTTTGTTTGTTTGTTTGTTCTTAAGTGAAAACAAAGCACTTCCTGTTTTCACAGAGAACAGTATTGCTTCTCACATACCATCAAGCCAGGAGCAGCCAAGGAATGGGTCACCTTCAAAGGTGACTTCTTTTTGATTAATTAAAAAACCCACCCTGCAACCTCTTTCCTCCCCAGTTTTAACAGTAGAAATTCAGGTCTCATCACTTTGTTTTTCCACAACTGAAGACTTATGATGACATCCTGAGAAGCTGCTCTGGGGATATTTCTCCACTGCACAGTTAACTCATGTTTTTACTCAAATTAAAGTCTGTGGTTCTTGTTGTACACAGGGGAGAAACCTCTGACTTGGCTAAGGTATGCTTTCAGTCCAGACCAGCTTACCTGGTTGGCTGTAGAGGGCAGAACCCGGGACTGGACCCGACCTTTTTTGCACTGTGACTGCAGACAGGAAAATTAAATAAAAATCACTTGAATTCTGGTGGTTCTCCAATGCACCTTCCCTAGCTCCCCTGTGGCAGCCAAGCAGCTGTGAAAGAATCCTACAGGCTGTGAACACCAGAAAGGTCTGGCTCTGTAACAGACACACACAGGGATGTTCAAAGGAGTCCTCTCTTCAGGTCTATATTCATCAAGGTAGATCAGTGCCTGAATGGCGAAGAGAAGGCTTGATATTCTTGGCACTGCAAATGAAGCAGACAAGTATATCTTTGGTGTAATGGAGGAAATACATATAAACCCCTCTCAACAGAGCTATAAAGAGGAACATGGCAAAGCGTCTCCCCCTTCACAAAATTCAAAGACTTTCTTCTTTGTTTTGTATCATCAAGCACAAATATTTCCAGTTCCTGCCCATCCCCACCCCATTCTGCCCTCTCCCCCTGCCCTGCCCCACTTCAGGTCACTTTGAACAACACTGGCACTACTTACAAAACCAACAGAAAGTCAATTACCCACATATATTATTGCAGGGTTAATTTTTAACCTCTTCCAGCTGGCTCAGTAAGCAGGGACCTACAGACTCTCAGCTGCAGAGAGCCTGCCACCCACCCAGCTGGGGAGAGGGATGAGCATCATGTGGGGCCCCAAATGTGGGGTGAGCCCAAGCAGAAAGGATCCTGCTCCTCTCTGCCACCTCCTGCAGCCTCAGTGCCCAGCCATATGCTTTGGCTGAAAGCAGCTTGCTAGCCCTGCAAGGCACCCAGCTCAGAAAAATGTAAATAAAAAAATAGAGAAAAATATAAAATAAAAGGGGTGAGCAGACATTTTCTAGCAAAGCAAATTTAACCAGCTCATCCAAAGGGTTCAAGGAGCACCAGAGCTGTTGTAAATGATGGGAGAAGGTGAGAACAACCAAGACCGTGGGGGGAAAAAAAATCTTCTCTCTGGTGATGGGTAGCTGCTAAAATGCCTTGCACTATGGCAAGAGCAACACCTTTAGGCTGTGTTGAGGGAACAGCCACTTGAAACTGCAGATTTCCAAGCTGAAGCAAGACAGGCAGTGCTTGCCTTCTCCCTGGCTCCCTCCTTCAGCCTTCTCTGCAGTGGTACCCTGTGTGCCCACGGCCACGGGGCTGCACCAGGACTGGTGCTGGCATGGGGGAGAACAGACTTACACTGGGTCCAGCTGCCCGTGTGGTTATGGCAGGAGTCTGGCAGCAACAAGGAATAAATATTTACACCTTGCTAAGAAACATTTTATGAATCTTGTGGAGTTTTGTCAAGCCTCTTTTTGGAGGTATATCCATGGACTTTTCAACTGACAAGCAGTTTTCTGCTTTTCAGCTGAAGAAGTGCTATGAGCAGCTCTGTGAAACACTCCTGAGGAAAGCCCCAAGTGCAAATACTTTTTACAAACTACATAGATGTAGTTTGGAACAGAACAGAAAAAAAAAAAAATCAAAACACCAGGTTGCTCCAAGCCCCATCCAGCCTGGCCTTGAACCCCTCCAGGGATGGGGCATCCACAGCTTCTCTGGGCAACCTGTTCCAGTGTCTCACCACCCTCACAGCAAAGAATTTGTTTCTAGTATGTAATCTAAATCTCCCCTCTTTCAGTTTAAAAACATTACCCCTTGTCCTATCACTACACTCCTTGACAAAGAATCCCTCCCCATCTCTCCTGTAGCCCCCTTTGGGTACTGGAAGACCGTTATAAGGTCTCCCTGGAGCCTTCTCTTCTCCAGGCTGAACAACCCCAACCCTCTCAGCCTGTCCTCATAGGAGAGGTGCTCCAGCCTCTGATCGTTTTCGTGGCCTTCTGCTGGACCTGTTCCAACAGGTCCATGTCCTTCCTGTGTTGAGGACTCCAGAGCTGGACACAGAACTCCAAGATAAGGCTGGAAGGGGATTTTTTGACAATGAAGTTGCCTAACCAACAGCTCCAGCACTGCTAGCCCAAACTGTGAGAGAAGTCAAGAGCAAATTCAGCAGAGGGTGAAACAGAAATGGCGATAGAATCACGCTCAGACGTAAAAGTGACCATATGTTCAATTTAAAAATAATTACTCTGAGCTCAATACCACTAGTGCTTAATACCACTAGTAAGGAAACTGGTTATGATATTATATTTTTAATATTAAAAAAAAGGAGTACTACTACTACAAAAATACTCCCACCTCAGTGACAATTTAATCAAAGCTTCTCAATTCCCCTCCACACTCACGAGCCCTATGGGATTTGACCACCTTTAAGGCAGGCACCGTAACATGCCATGTGAGCACAAACACAATTATTTCTAGTTGCCTGCTTGGAGGCCAGTATATTCAATAACCAGCTCAGCCCCCTATGAGTCTGATCTGCCCGACACTGCAAAGCAGGAGTGAGAATCCACTTCTGCTTTCACCACCGTCACCGTTAAGCCAGCACCATTTCTCCTAATGGCAGAGAAAAGGGAATGATCAAAAACAGGGTGAAAAAGGATCCTTCTGCCCTGCCAACACCACAGATTGAAAGCACCAGAGAATGGGAAGGTGATGGCTCGGTATGTTTTCACAGCAGAGAGGGAAAGGACGTCAATAATACAGAAAAATGCACCCTGCAGCTCTCATGGTACCAGCGCTATAACACATGTGCATTTCTGGGCCACCTAATAATAGCAGAATATTGATAAATGGAGGGCTGGGACTAGGGTGGACTAGTGAGGGGGGAAAGCGATGACGACAAAGGAAAAGCTCATGGCAGGAATTGATTAATATGAGAAAATTAGGAGCACGTAGTTAGCTCCACTGCCAGCTGTCCACATGCAGAGGAAGGACATAAGTGGGCAGGCTGGCCAAGGTGACAGTCTGGCTGCAAGAGGTACGGGGTGTTCCTCACCATGGAGGGGACAAGTGTCAGGTGAGGGACCTCAGTTTGATGGGAGGCAATGGCTTTTGTTTCTACACTGCCTAGTTTAATCCAAACCAGCCCAAAACAGCACAGCCCCACAGAACCAGCAACTCCTGGGCTGCAAAGCAGAACGGCCTGATGCTCTGCGGTCCAGACCCCAGCAGAGAGAGAGAAAACAGCTTTCTCACCACCCTCTGCCCCAAAACCCTGCATGATGGCCGGGGCCAGGCTTTTACACGAGCGCTGATTTACCAGGATTCTCCACCTTCTTCAGGATCTGGTCCTTCAAAGGTCCACAGGGTGAGGCCACGACATAAGGGAGCACTTTGTAGTGAGAGAGAAAATACAGCGATGGGGGAATCCTCCCCCCAGCCCACCAGGAGCAGCAGCACATCCTCTCTGTGTGCCCACAAGTGCTTCTTCCTGGGAAGTAAATTGCTAGTAAATAAATCAACACATATGTCAACGCTTGGTTTGTTTTTCCCAACCTTTTCAAGCACTTGGCAGCTGTGAAGAGAGATGGGAGGACCTAGTTTTAGTAAGGAATGAGTGAAATCTCGCAGTTCTTGTTTCTGTGTCAGGCTTTGAGGAGCCAGTGCTGAGCCTGGGCTGTGCACAGCCATGGGCAGCCACGAGCGAGCCGTGACTTAACCACTGTGGGGAAAGCAAGTTGGAAAAAAACCCCTCGTGGATTCCCAAAACGGCCACCAGCTGATCTGATCCTGAGGTGACTAATAATATTTTGGACTGATTTGACAAGCTGTGGCTTTACTGGAAAGTTAACATATTGTTTTTTCTATTTTTTTTTTTGCCCCCAGCATAAACAGGCTCCCACCCTTTGCTGAGTTCCAGGGAAATACAGAGGAAGCTCAAACAAAATAACAATTTACTCAAATGCTAAAAACGTCACAGCGATGCTCATGGGAGGGAAGTGGGGAATTTCATTTGATCTGTGCTAAAATGTCCTAACTAGCTCGTGTTCAGATCTGGTAACTCAAACAGACCCCACAATAAACAGGGCCAAGGGCAGAGAATGAAAACACATGCTGAAGAAGAGAAATGTAAGACAGTCTTTGTCAAAACATACTACGAGTCAGGTCTCTGCACCTTGCTCTTGATGAGCTTTGCTAATTATCCTTCTTGGGTTGTTTGTTTGTTTGTTTGCATGGCTTTAAAATATTATTTCCTTGGTCTCTGGTTGAAACCTATTAGGCTTGTTTTCCAGGCTTCATGGAAGCATTATCAGCCTTCAAACCTCCTGCATTCCTCCTTCATCCTCCTGTTCCTGCATCACATCATCCTCCGCCAGCCCAGAGGTGTCAATTAGAGGATGATCCCAGGGCACTCATATGATGCCATCAAAAAGCCGCCGTGTCACCTCCTCACACCACTTCCTCAGCACTTGTTCCTACGATTCCCATTTTGCTGGAAGGGAGGAGCAGGAAAACAAATGTGACCCGTGCTTCTCCAGGACACAGTCGCAGCAGCAGCTCTTTCTGTCAAATTAGTAAAAGGAACTGGCAGAAAGAAGCCTGTTATTCCAGTTCTGCCGGTCACCTGATGACAGAAGCAATTGATCCTAAATGCAAATATAAATGTTATGAAACGAGTAAGAGTCAGTTGTCCTTAAAAAAAGTTTGCAACTAGAAAACTGCATTTTTTTCTTTCCTTAGTAACAAGTTTGGAAACAGAAATAAATTCATTAGCTGAATCATCTGGAGGTGCTTAATCTGCTGGTTTCTTGAAACAATGATGAAGGATGAGATTTTTAAAAGGTGGAAAAGAAGCACACAACCAAGTTGGCCCCCTCTTCTTCCTCTTTTCTAAACATACTTACTTGCATTACCAGCAGAGCTAGAGAAAACATAACAGAAGGAATTCAAGAAGCTCAGAAATATTACCTTTTTTTCTATCAAGTTCTGAATTTTGCAACATGAGTCTTTTCAAGTGGGAGGAGGAGAAATTTCTATTTTTTTTCTTAAGAAACAAATAAACAAAGAAGCCACCCACAAAGCATAACACCACAAGCCATCCAAGTCATGGTTTCAAAGTGAGCATTTCATGTAAACCTAACGTCTAGTTTTGTGAAATTGCTCCTGAGAAAAGCTCTCAGCTAAAATATCTCAATTATAACATTTTCAGACCTGAGGTTTTCAGGATTCCTACTGCTTTGGGGCATTTGCATTTCCCCCCTCTCTCACTTCCTACTTTGCTACAGGAAATATTTCAGCGAAGTGTTTAAATGCAAGTAAAAAAAAATCTGCTTTCAGTGCTGACTATAATTTTCAATATTGAATAGGGAGGGGAGGAGAATATCTTGACTTTTTTGCGGCTTTGTCCTGAATCACAAAGACCAGATGGGTAATTTCAAGCAGAATGATTTTTAAGTCTGAATGGGAAACACAGAACAAATGAGAGCAAAAGCCAAGGCTCCTGTGTAGCAGGTCCCTCCTATGGCAGTCCTTAGAATGAAACACGAAAAGCCTCCCTGCCCCTGCAGACTCCCCAGAGATGGAAAGCTTCAGAGCCCTGCAATGCCTTTTTAAAAGACACTTCACAGCTATATGCTCCAAATTTATAAACCTGTATTTTCCTTCACAGATGATCTAGGATGGATGAACAGTGAAAGGCAAAGCTCTTTTTCACTCTATTAATATAAATGAGGCCAATTCTTTTCTTGTGCAGAGACTCTGGTGTCAAATAAGAGAGTGCAGTGTTATTTTGACTCGGTCTTTACCTGTTACCAAATGGCTATAATTGAGAATAAGCATTTCTAGGAGTACGTCTTGCTCCACTCTCCAGAATTTCTTCCCATCCCTTTGCTATGACTTAAACAATTATTCCTACACTTATACCATCCTGATGCTGACTGACTCACCTGCACTGATTAAACCATTGTAAAGGGATTAACTCTATTTAATCCTTGTTGTCCTACAGATACAAATTAGAGCAGCATTTGAAATGCACTCAAGCCAACTCACCCTTTGTGTTAAACTTACAGTTTCCTTGCTTGTTGAGGAGTCTGTGGTCTCCCTTTCCTTAACGAATATATTCCTGTTACTTCTCTTTCCAAAACTCAATCATTACATAGATCATCACCTACAGAATTCATCTGTTCTCGTACTGTACCCCTTCATATTCCCTTCTCCACCTGTATCTGCTCTTTTACCAGCTACCCAGACTCCACCACCCTTTCTCTGTGCAAATACCTCTGAGCATCTCGCAAACTGAATCCCAACTGGGTTTGTACTTGTCCCTTCAGTAAAACCAGAAGAGCATCTCTGCCCCATGAGCTGCTGCTCTGCTGGACACCCATTCCAACCAGGGCACGGAGAGCAATCAGTCCAAGGCAAGACCTCTTTTGACTGTTGGTATGTCTTGAAAATTTGCATTAGGAAATAAAGACAAGCCTGAATCTGTACGATCATGGCCCCCTCTTCTGTAGCTCTTCCTCTTTAATGCATTACATGCCATGTATTAGATTGCAAACTCTTTGCTCTGTGCAACGTCTCCGTTCCCAGCTTTGTAGTTCGACATCACAAGCCTCCAACCTTGATTTCAGTCCAAGTGACATGATAATAAATAACCAGTAGCAAATAAACCATAATAAATTTCCACACATTCACTGAGCATATCTGAAGGATATAGTCTGCACAACAGCATCCCTGGAGATTGCCTGGAACTGGCCGATCACTCCAAGACTTCTCCAAGCCTGGAAGTAAACAACCTCTCTGTGGCACCACCCTGTGCTCCACCCACCAACTCTACTTTCCAAAAATAATGGGCTGTGAGTGAAAATGAAAGGGTTAATTTCTCTGTCTCTGGTGAACCTTTCCAGGCTATTCAGTTTCCTTTCAGACTCCAGCCCATCGGAGGCATGTGAGGTGAAGGATAGAATTACATACTGGGCATGTTTCCTGTACTTAGTGGGTGGATAGAGCACAACTTCCGCACTAATAATGTCAAGGTAATTAGGACATCCTGCAAAACCTGTAACAGGGAAGAAATAACCATTGTTTATTGTCATTTCTGTTGCTGAGGTGGTGAGCTCCCCTCACAACTCTTCTTGCCTTTCGTTTTGAGCCCATCTCTACTTTAGCTGAGACAGAACTGCACCAAATACAAGAACCCTGGGATTTGCCATACGGACTTGGGCTAAAATGCAATTTTTTTTTCCCCACCACTCCTCCCAGCCCTGTCTCAGGGCCTGAAGCAGTCACTGAAACCGACACCTCTGTCCCTCATGTGAGACTCCGAGCCACCAGGCTGCAGAGGCACATCTCTGGCTCAACAGTGAGTTAGTGTGTGCAGTGTGACACACTCCCAGCAAGAAGGATCAAGCCATCATCTTGCACACCCCCTTTTTCCACAAAGCAGGCTCTAGCCTAGTGATCAGGACAACCTGGTCAGGACAACCCTCAGGCAGACGAAGCAGGGCTCTAGGAAGGCATCTCCCATCTTGAGAAGAGCCCAGTGTGCAGCAGCTTCCTACTGGAGTCACTTCTCCAGGCTTCTGCTGGAGAGCAATGCTTCTTGCTCAGCGTTTGAAAAAAAATGCACCAGCACTCACCTTCAAGTGTTTTGAAGCCCAGTAGCCCCCTCCCAGGTCACAGGGACCACAGAGTGGGGTAAGATCGAAATAATTCTGCTCAGTGTTTCCTACTGGCTCCTTTAAAAATCTCCTTTCTTTGATGTAGTCTTTGGTGGATGCCTTTTAGAGGAGTGGAGTTCTTCCTCTGTCCCTTGGGACGTCAGATTTCGGGGAGAAGTAACAAGGTTTTGCTGGGGGCAATTAATGTAGCTGGAAAAAAAAGCAGACAAGCTTTGGGTAACTGAAACTTTTTCTAGATCTCTGTTTCACAAGATTTTTAGCAGCAGACAACTGACCCTACAGGTTTGCTATGACCTGCCTCTCCTCTCACTAAAAATATGCTGAGGATGATACGGTTGCATGGGCACGGTACTGGGAACCAGTTGGATGTGCAGCCCGGGCCCCCAGCCCAGGGCTTGGCATTTTCTGAAGGGGGAGTGGATGGGAAATGAGACAACCGCGAGACAACGCGTAAGCCTTCGTCTCTCTCCCAGAAAAAAGAAAAAAAAAAGCTCCTTTGCTTGTCGTTTCTGGCTGCAGTCATCACAGCCTGTGCATGCACACAGATGCCAGCACAACCCATCCCCTATCGCAGGAAGCGTCTACGTGGTCAGATGCAGACAGTCAGATGGCAGCTCAGCCTCGCCGGAGAGCTGGGGGCTGCTGGGTTCCTGAAGCCATTTAGATGCATTAGCAAGGGCCATCTCACTATCACTTAAGGCTTGGCAAGAGAACGTGACTGAGCAGACGTACCCTTGACCAGGGACACTAGGTACTAATTCGTGCGTACGCTGCCCAGCCGAACGGGCCTTATGTCCATAATGGAATACAGATAATGATCTGTTAAATTATTGCTCTTTCCTTTTTGAAGATTTCCTGGCTGCTGGGTGCTGATGTTCGTAAGCGCTTCAAGGAAAGCAACATTGATTTTTCCTCAGGTGGAGGATTTCAGGATGCCGCGTGTCTCTTGTTTGCTCTGCCAAACGTATTTCCGAGAGTCGTGGTTTTGCACACATTGCAAGCACAGCCTGCATCAATATCCCGGGGAGAACCGTGATTCTAATTAACGACAGAGTCCTTCTAAAGGTGTCTCTATTAAGCTTGTACATAAGGGCAGTCTGCTAGGAAATTTCCCTTCCCTCTCACGTGGCACAAGCTGTTGCCATCTGCAAAAAGGTATTGACAATAATGCTGAGCCTAAATTGTTAGGCGCACTGCTGCTGGGCTTGTGGGGAGAGCCACACGTTGGACAAGCCCTGTCTGAAGGGGCTCGTGTGGAATGAAATTCTGCATTTGCTTTTCAGAACTGCCAGGTTTTCAAATTGCGCTTGTGATTGTCATCAAATTCAGCCTGTAAAAAGAAAGCTGTGCATTTCAGACGTGAGGGAGAGGCAGGAAAAAAGGATCTCGGGTCCTGAAATAAATAAAAATAACTGACAGAGTTTGAAAAATGAGATTGTGAAAATAAGTAACAGCATAAGCCTACACTGTTAACAATCAAAAGACAATGGTTGTCCGTTTTCACCCTGTAAAAGAATATCGGTGTCTAAAGGCTGGTCTCCACTCAGAATTTACTGGCATAATTATACTGTTAAAAACACCAGTATAGCTCTGTTTGGACACACTTATTTCAAAATAAGAACATTCATATAGGGTGGAAATACTGGTGTAACATAAGGTATAATTACTCTGGTAAACTCCCCTGTGCAGACAAACCCTGAGGAAAAAAAAAGTCTTGTCTGGTTCATTGTATGCACTGATTTTAGAAGCAATCTCTGACCCACAGGCGAAAGAAACACCCCCACCCAAAAGACAGGTCCCACAGTCTGTGTGCTTCTCTGTCTGCCAGGCTGGGACCGAAATGCTGAGACTTACAGAAAAATCCACCTTTCCACAAAAGTCTGGAAGGAGGAGGTTGGTGGCCGAAGTGACTAAGTATCAGCAATGCCTTTGGTCTAGGTCACTGTTTCCTCTTCGCTGCTACAACGTGGGAACGAAGCTGTGGGATAACTGGGGGTGGGAGAGCTGCAATGGTTGGTCTGGGCAGTGCCTTTCCCTCAGAGACTGAGCGTTTCTTCTACAAAGCAGCCTGTGCCTCAGCCTTCTGGAGGAGCATGGGCCCGCAGAGGTTAGCGATTGACCTTAACCCTTCTGCCTGGGAGTGGGTTGAATTGAGGCAGAGGCAGTAGAAATTCCTGCTGACGGGTCCAGAAGGGTCATCTACTGATAGACTTAAGCTCTAGGCAAACTCTGAAGAACATCCCTGCATGGCAATCTTGCTCAGGCCACTGAAAAGGTGGGGATTTCATGGGGCTGCGCAGCTGCAGGATTTTCCACTCATTTTTCTTCTGAAAAGGAAGATCCCAGCCACTGGGCTTAGGCGCTGTTATCCCAAAGGTCATCTGTGAGCAGTCCGTGACCATTCCCTGCCTCAGCACTTTGCTCAACTCAGCCTGCAGTGACACAAGTTTCATGGGTTTCAACCACTTCCTTCGCAATGCTGCCTCATAGATATCCCCACGAGGAATGCCAGTTCCCTTTGCTAAGCTTTTCATGCTGTTTCTAGTCATGCCCAAGTAGCTATTCTCCTGTCCAACTCACTCAGCCTTTGAAGACACAGCCCATAAGAGAGGCAGATGCCAGAAAGAGCTCCTAGAAGGAGTCCAGCATGAGGACATGGACATTTAATTGCTGCAGGCCTTCAAGTCCTAAGCGTGTTGCATCAAACCCACCAGCAACTATTAACAGCAATGGAAGAAATGCTGTTTTTTGCCCTAGAGACTCTCTACTACTTATTCGTAGAGAGACCTTTTGAAACACAGCACATCATGGCCTGGATACAGACCAGAGTCAGTTCTGCTCATTGACTGCCTTCAGTTCCTCCCTCAGCTTTCTAACAGAGAGAAGCAGCTGCCCAAGACTCAAAGTTCTTTAGATGTTGATTTAATCTGTGCTCAGAGCTGTGTCTGCCTGAAGGAACCTTGGAGACATTGGATTGGTATAAAGAAGGGCTTCTGGTGAAGGGAGTTGGGAGCAGCTCTGCTGTCTGCCCATGGCTGCTGGAAAACAGAGTGGGGCAGGACACAGTGAGAGAGAGAGAGACCTACAATATAATACTAGTCATAGTCACTTTGAACAAAATGTTATGAATTTATCAGTGAAAACCCTTCAGGAGAGAAATGAGTCACTAGAGAGTCTCACAGCAGGCTACAGGCATCACCCAGCTCTCAAAGAGGAAACAAATTCCTTTCGTCATGAAGTGCTGTGCAACCAAGACGTCTGTGTCCGGGGACAAGCATCATGTCAGGAAAGAGCATCCAGAAGGGATGATTGGTGACAAGCAAGGAAGCTGAGATGCCTTGCAAGGACCCTTCTTTAGAGGCCTCTCACATTTTGCCTGCTTTTACAGGATCCCGAATGGAGCACGTTGCCTTACATGATGCTGTCTGATGGAGGAGACCAGCTGGAGCACACCGAAACTTCATGGGGCCTCACTGTGCTGCTGAGACCAGTGTAGGTAACCTGTGCTGGAGCTCAACTGCCAGATGGCATTGGGACTCCCATCAGACAATCAAAGGTCACAAAAAACATGTACATCTTTTAAAATAGTCATTTAACACCCTCAGAACGGAGGTGAAGAGTCTTCCCTACACAGTTATTACAGCTTTGTATAGCTCCAGTTGGTAAGAAAACCTTAAAAGTGCTCTTCTCATAAAAGCAACCACAGAAGAAATATTTCCCACCTCAGCTATCAGCCTGCAAACATCACAGAGCTCAGACTTTGCTTATGAGACACCCTGGATGTCAGGGGAATTAGTAGACTTACTCCTAAATCATGCCTCCTGGTCCTTCAAAGGAAACAGCAGTTTCACTAAAGACATATTGCTCATTGTCATTGAAACTTCTTACGCAGAAGGGAAGCAGAGCATTCCCAACAGGTGACCCCGTAAGGGACATCCTGTACAGACAAGCTAACAGACACCTACCTCAGCTCAACAGACCCCTGGAGTGATCATGAACCCCATGGGCGCCTTGTCCCAAGTCTAAGTGCTTAGAGGATACAGCAAACGGCAGAGATTCCCTTCAGCTCTGCATGGGAGAGCCATGAAGCCATGGCTGCACTGAAAAGCAGCGTCGGCCGCTTTTTTTCCCCTTAGTTCACCCTAAAACAAATCCTTTGACTTGATCCTAAACCAGCCCCATTCCTGTCAGGACACAGGCATGTTCCAGCGCCATCTAGCCAACTTGCCTTAGAAACACACAGCAGCACCTGAGGCAGGAAACCCAGGGGAGAAGTTGTCCCTACAAACCTCTCACCACCAAACCCAGCGCCAAAGGTGGCACTGCCAGCTCTGGTCCCCAAGTACACCTTGGCTTGGTAAGTTTGCTACAGGCCTCTTGAGCTATGTTGGTCAATAAGTTCAGTGCTGCCCAGAGATTGAGTTTCATGTGCCTTTGCTACCAAAAGAAAAAAGATAACAAGGGAGCTATGGTGGCGTCAGATAGCTTTCGTTTCAGGTTTTGTAGTTCCTTTGAATGAGAAGCAAGAAGCGAAACCTTCGGGTGAGGGTGCAGTGTAAATCCCCAGATAGATCTCATTAGATGAAAACTAGAGTCTCCGTTCAGCTCCATAACGTGGCTTGACCTACACCAAAGCCAGACCTTAGTGAGAGGGAAGACTTGGCAAACAACTCCAAATGGGAAACCCAGCCAGCCCTTGGAGTAGGATGGCTGTGACACTCAGGGAAGGAGAACTGGTGCTAGCACAGACTAGCAGCTTTCATTAAAGGATTTGTTTTCACGATCAATTTAAGCCAATCTGAGTCGGCTTCCTCCCTGCCATACCTTGCCATCAGCTCTCTCGTGTGGCTACCAGTCATCACAGGGTTAGGTGCAGTGCCAGACTGGTCTGTTGATCCAGTTGAAAAACAAAATCCTGAAGAGGAAAAGCCTTCAGACATGTAGAAACCAATCCTTCTCCCCAGCCCAAATGTTAGCACCTATAAGAGAGGTTGCAGGAAGATGCAGTCAGATGTTCAGGGAAGGACACAAGGCTTCTTTTGGCCACCCTGCAAAAATCCTTAAATCTTCACTCCTAGCACTCTAGAGAAATAATTTGATTTGTAACAACTAGCTAGAGTACACACTCAGTGTCCCCACTGAGTACAGTTACCTCCGAGGTGAACTTTCATGTGAAACACTAGATGCCACAGAGGAAACCAGAAACTGAACTGCAGGAGCAACATAACAGTGCCACCTGTAAGGCAGCATATCTGAATGCTGACCTTTTTTACTGAAAGTTTCATTCTGCATCTGTTTCACAGAACAATAAAAATAGGTATTTGTTTCATCAATGGCAAAACAACCTGCTTTGTGTGCAGAGGATCCCAAGCACCGATATGATACAAGTTTAAAAAAGTTCCAAGGTGGAATGGTTTACTTCTAAAAAGTTAACTAAGCCAATATATTTGGGGATTAATTATATATACACACATATATATAAACATACATAAAAACAAGCAAATCAGTACACTGCACAATTGCTTATGGCTTTATGTAGGTAAAGGCCACTAAATTTTAGTGGAAGAAGTTTTGTGACAGCAGATTTTTCCTTTGTAGCAAACACTATGGCAGATGCCGGGCAGGTCTGTAAAGCTGGGCTGAAGTGAAGCACCAAAAATCCCAGTAATGAGTTTCTGAGATTACAGATTTGTGAACGCCTAACTGCAGAGAATGAGGGAGTGGTACCCCTACTCCACTCACCTGAGCAACGTCAAAAAAATCTTATGAGTGTTCTGTAATTCTGAAAAGAATTATTGGTCCATCTTGGTTCACTGGTCACCAGAAACTGGCCACAGTCATGCGTGTTGAAGTGAGATGTGCATTCGCCTCTCAAGTGAGCAGTTCAACCTCTTCAGAAGGGAAAGCTGCAAGGGAAACACAATAGTTACTTTCTCCTGCCTTTTGAAACCATAAAGAAATACTGCAAGCACTTGGTTCAGAGGCTTGAGCCTGATGCCTTCCACCTCTGGGCTTCCCAATCCAGCAGCACACACACCAGTTGAACATGGGGTGTCTTTTAGCAAATGTCTCAATGGGATGGTCTCTCCCAGCAGACTCAGCTCAGGCAGGAGCCCTTTAGACATTCCCCCCAGCCTCTAGCACAGATGCCTGTCAGTGCAAAGGGCACAGGCGGTTTCTGGCAGTGTGGAAATGCAGCTCTCAACCGCCAAGTCATGGGAGAGCGACCAGAAATGGCCAGCTTGGCTTGTCCCTAGGGCCACAATTTCCTCACTGCAGGATATGGACGAGACTGCTTTTGCCAAACCTCTCTCTCCAGAGATAAGGTAACAGGTCAACTTTCACTCACTGACCAACAACTCACCATGTCCAGAAGACTCACTGGACTGGTAGAAAGCAATGGCATGATAGCAGCTACTTAGGTTATAACCCATCACACATTTAAAAATTTGGCCTTTTGATTTGTAAATATTTTTTTATTTTCATTTGAAAGGATTTTAGTGCAATTTGGAATCTGTGCTTTCCCAAACACTGGAAAAGCAAACGGCTCAAAGCTTCAAGTCCAGGCCTATCTCCAGGACAGAATTTGGTGAGGAAACCACTGACAGGACCCAGTATTTCAGATCTAAATGTTGACAACAAACCTTCCCCCCTCCCCAACGTTATATGAACTTTGATACAGCTGCTTTAATAGGTAGAAAGGTAGTGACAGATGAACTGCAGACTTTTCTGTGTCACTCCTGCATCATCTGTGCCTGCCTCAGCAGGGCTGGACTCCTCATTTCTGGGCTTTCTAAATGAAAACAAAGACACATTTCTAATGGATGTACTTTAAAAAAAAAAAAAAAGTAGCCAGAAGTTAATGAGCTCATGTGACAACAAGCAAGATGAAATTATCTCCAAGTTAAGCATATTTCAACTCTGAAGAGTAGTGGGTCATTTCTGTGTTATAAACCAGGACAATGGGAACACAAATAGGGTTGCTGCAGAGAATACTCCAAGTTCGTGCCATTGGAGGAGAAGGAGAAATGCCATACCCCTGATTTTGCTGTGAATATTGAATCAATCTGGTCTGCGATACCAAGAGAGACAGGAAACCTCTCCTGGTCACCCATTTAGTTACCAGCCTCCCCAGATCATCACTTGAGGTAAAAACACAGCAAATGGAGCTATTTGGTGTCACATCATGAATCAGGTAGTTTATTTAGGAAATACTTATTTACAAGTAGGCTACATCAGAGCAAATCTGTTAGGGCCAGCTGTTTGAAAGTTACTAAGAAGAACTAAGAAGAAGTTCACTGGGGTGATTCAGAGAAGGGCTGATATTTGGGTAGATTATTTAGCAAAGACAGATACAGCAGAGTCGGCCTGGCAGCAGCCTTTCCTATATAACAACATCACAGTGACAGGAAATGCATGCTGTTTTCCAGCATTGAATTTCTAATTCTGGCATCTTGCTTCCCTCAAACATTTTTTGTCGTCGATGTAGCTGCACTAAAGCATTATTATCTTTTGAAAGCCTGGTTTGCAGCTTTTTGTGCTAGTCGAACACAAGCAGTTTTTTGGCTTTGTAAAGAGCAGTATATTATTGCTTCATCATTGGGAAAAATTGAGAAATTTCTTTTGAGGCAGAGAGGAGTTGTGGAGTGAGAGAGGAGAAATGTAAGTCTGTAGCTTGATGGAGATGCTCTTCTGTTTCTGTCAGTAGCTGTACAGCTGATTTAATATTATTTGGCAATGGGCAGCTCAGCCTCACAGAACTGTTTTGATCTACGTTTTTTGGAAAGTAGAAGAGGATTTGAATATATCTGATATCTATGGCTCATGGAACGAAAGACAAAGAAGATGCATTTAAAGCTGCAGCCCACACACAGGGCTTCTAAACACAGTCCTCAAGAAAGGGAATTTATGAGCAACTCTTCCCTGGCTACATATGGCAAAAGTACAACTGAATGTGTGACGGCTAAGGATCCTAAAAAGTACCCAGGGCACCCCTCCACAAGAAGATAATACTTTGCTTTAACCGCATCCAGCACAGAGGCACAGTTTGCAGAGCAGGAAGGGAATAAGCAACGTATTGCATAAAAAAATTCCTCTTACAGGAACAGCAGCCCAGTTGCAAGAAGCTTTACAACCCTCCTGGTTAAAAACAAACCAGAAGCAGCTCACACACCTAAACAGTGTAGTTACACTGGTACAGTGTCCCACCTGCACCAGGACAGCAGGCTGGGTCAGATGAGCACCTTGCAGGGACACCCATGACTTGACATGCCAAACAAATTATTTGAAGATTACTGGATGGCAGGAATCCTGAGCTCAAGGTACACCAGCCACCAGAGACAAAAATCCCCCAGCATTACCTAATACCTATAGCATAATTTGTGGCATACAAACTTACCTAGGGGTAAAAGGGAATTACTCCTATTGTGAAATATTTTTCCTGCTTCAAAATTACCACTGTTCCAGTAAATGCTGAAAAGCCAGTGGAGATGCCCCTGCAGATGCTCTACTCTGTTAAATCTGCTCTGCTGTGGTATCACCGTGTCTAAAGTCAGTTACTCCCTTTGCTTGTCCATCCAAGTAAACTCAGCATGTGGTACTGTAACGCTGGGCTTGCTGAGCAGACGATGGATTTGAATAGCCTGAAGTCTGTCTCTAATAACTGCAGCATCAGTATCAAATTATGCTATTCCTATGATTCCAGGATCCACCTAAAGAAACCATCTGCTTTCTCGGATGGTCCCTTTCAACTGCGCCTTCAACTCAACCCAGAGCACTTGCCATCATTTCAGCTCCCATATTTGAAGCTGGTGCATTGACACACGCGTGGGGTGCAGTGTCATCACAGACTCCTTGTTCCCAAAAGAACCAGCTGACATCAGGAAGGAGCAAGGAAATGGTGAAAAGTCATTACTCCTGGTGCAAACCTTGAAATTGCATCATGTGAACAAGAACAGCCTCATAAAACCCTTTGTGCCTGCCTGGGGATTTGTGATTTCCATTTTTCATTTACGAGCTGTGGCCAAATTTAGTTGCAACCTATGACACTCCTCTGTCATATTTGTTCCCATCTATATTCTTGATTCATCCCAAATTAGCCTATGGCCCAATCTAGACTGCAACAGTCAAGGACTCAATTACAACTTCTGTTGCAATCAGGTCTGGGAACAAATTATTTCCGTTTTGTGGTGTTGATGGGAACTGTGCCCATGAAAACTTGAACCCGGAGAAAGCCAGATGGTCCCATCAGCTCCCTTGATGGGAGAGAGGAGCAGTGCTGGCAGAGCTGCTTTTGCGCTGTTGTACTGGACTATTATGAGAGCAAATTTCTTTCTCCATCCTTTAACCCAAGCTCACACACACATTTTGGTGGGTGGCACATCTGGCTCTCAAACTTATTGTTGCTCTGACTGACAGTTGGCAGAGGTTGGTGGGTGATTTTCATGACAAAAAGGCTTTTGTTTGGCACTCCCTTCCAGCTAGCAGATGAGAAGCAAAGACACACAGCAATATTCAATGAACACAGAGCAGCACTTTCCAGGGATATTTTCTTTTTGAGCCTTTTCTGTAACAAAAATAGCTTTTCCACGGAAGTGCACACATTTCTGGAGAATGAATATATATATATATGTACACACACATTATTGGTGTTACTCCTCCAGAATAAACATAGATATGTTGTATTTTACAGCCTGTCTGCTGGGAAAACTATTCAGTCTGAACAGCCGCCCCAGAAGAATCTGAAAAATGAACTGAACAGATTGATCTCAAGTCTCAACCTCAGATTCCCCCAACCAGTCTAAGCAAATTCAGCTTGGGTCTGAATCTTATAAGTCTGAACCAAACTTCCCCTTACTGCTCTGAAATAGGGAATGACTGCCTGCATAATACAAAATATTATTTCAGTCTTGTACAGAAATCTCTTTGCCCAAGGTCACAGGAATATTCTGGCAGAGACAAGAATAAAAATCTTGATTTCTTGTCTCCCAATCTGCCCCTTGGGCAACTGAAACCAAGCAAGTACCCTGGGGAAGGAGATATGCAAGCACCATGCCAAATTGGGAATAGGAGGGGAAGAGAATTTGACATTGTGACAGGACAAATATTCTCTTCCTCATGGGAACTGTATCTCTAAGGCCCCTTCCAGCAGATGCTGGAGCTCAAAGAAAAGGCTGATCTTTGTTCCTGTACCTCGGAAGCGCTGGGATCCCACAGACAAGCCGTAAAACCAGAGCACCGGCGTTTCCCATCCCTTCGCTGCCATCCCAGGAGAGTTCACATCCGACACCAATTACTCCACGCACTCCAGATGGTTTTCCAATACGTATCAGCAAATATTTAAGGTGTGTTTTTCCTTTTTAGCAACCGCTTTTCTCTACAGCTTAAAGAAATGCCGATTAATGAACGGACAAGAGGGGAAATCAAAGCGGAGTCAGAGGAGAGTATGGTTTGCTCCCACACCTCACTTCCAAATCGCTTCAAGACTTTAACTGTGAAATTATTCTTCAGCATGTTGAAATGCACTAAAGCAAATCTCAATTCCAGGCTTTAGTTGCCCAGTGGTGTCCCCTCAGGTCTCCCAGACTGCCAAGCCCAGCAGCTGGCACCCATCTCCCCAGGCTCTCCCATTGTCTCTGGCTGGTGGCACCGCACTGACTCCCTGTGCCACCTTCTCTTCATTGCCACTCACACCACAGCCAATGTGCCCTGCTCTGATACAGCCAAAAAGGAGGCTGCATTCAGGAGAAAGACCAGATGATCAGAAGAGGGACTTCCCACCTTTCAAACCCAGGGAGGCACACCATCCCCACAGCACAGCTGGCTTCTGTGACAAACCCACCGTCAACTACAGTCCATGAATCCTCCTTGGCACTGGGCTGACTCCACCGCCACGGCAGAGTCAGGA